ATTTCAGTATCCTGAGGCTCTCAGCCCCATTTATTTTCCTCACAGACGGCAACAAAAGTCCGAAATTATACGATTTAAAATAAAAGCAATAATTGTGGCTTGATATTGAGTAAGAACATGTTTTTATGAACCACACAGCTTCTGCTCTTCCTATAACACGTAATGCCGTGAGACTACCAATAGAAATACATTGCTTTTAAAATCGTGCTGTGTAACCCGAAAAAAAGGGGAAAATCGTGTTGGTGAACACCAATCGATAGATTAAAAATCGTGTTGGTGAACACGAAATGCCATGAGACTGGGTTGGCCAAGCAGTAGTGTAGCGGTGAAGCACAGTTAGGGCAGGCAAGCCAGCTGTGCAGACAGACACAGCCGTTAGGGCAGACCAGCCGTCCAGGCAACACTCAGTCAGGCAGGCAAGACACTCGTAGACGTAGAGCAGTCGTGGATGCACAGACGTAGACGTAGAGGCAAAACAGCAGTCCTTCTTTATCACGCTTCCAGCGCAGAGCCTAGCGGACATTTGATGATGTTATGAAAATAATACTAGATTAAGATTATTCAGGAAGAATGAGACAAGCAGAAGGTCTACCGACCGATCAGGCCAAGTTCAGACAAACACACAGCAGGAGAGCTTAATTTACAGCGGCAGCAGACATGGGCTGCAGGATCCCTGCAAGGGTCTACAGACAGCGATGCATTTAGTATTTAGGCTAATTGTCATGCTAAGTGTACAAAAAACGGCAGCCACTGCAAACTCACCGGGGCCAGCGGAGAAAGCACGTCAGCGGAACCAAGAAGTGGCCTTCGTGCCAAAGAGCTAGAGCGACACTGACCCCTCTTTATAGAGGTTGCCCCGTGTGGTGATAGGGCTGAACAGTTTATCCTGCTACATTATGCTGAACACCTAACCTGCTCCGGAGCTTCGAGATAAGATATCAACTCAGTGAAAGCACCGTCTGCGGACCAATCAGAGCTCAGTGTGCTGAGTTTAAAGCTATCAAGTCATATTACAGGAGAAAATAAATAGAGTTTAAACTGCTGTATGCAGGAAAAACGCAGACGTTTCCTCCTACTTATCATTCATATCACATCATATCACATGATCATAATATATCATATATTTCCTTATCTTTGTCAGCTTCTCGAGCCGTATCTGGCCGTGCAACACTTACATTGTCACATACTGTATGTCAAAGTATTATTTTAAGCAACAAGTTAAGTTGATGAAACACTCAAATGCAATTAAAGTCAGATCCACTCATGTCTTAGACGGGGCAGTGATAGCATAAACTGTTAATGTACGCATTCAAACACTCTGTAGTTTTTTTTTTACCAGCTGTTCTGTTTTCACCTTGCATGTGCAACTATGTGGCTTTTATCCTGGTTTATCTGTTTAAGTCATGGATGTTTAAACAGATAAAACATGATTAAACTAACACATTTGACGGGACACAACACTATCAGAAACGTTGTTGTATCAGAAACAATGCACGATGTGTTTTGGAAGTAATATGGTCTGTGTTTACATTAGCAAGTATCGCTAAAACTCAGAGCTAACACTGTACTGGAGAGAGTATGAATCCAGATATAAAAAGTACGGTCCCTGTGGTAAACCCGCGAGAGAAAAAGCATTTGAGCTCCATACTGTTTCAGAAATAATCCTTGATGTGGTTTGGAACATAATATGGTATTTAATCACGGCAGCATTTAGCTGAGTTTCTGCTGGTAGACAGCCTTCTCTTCACAGAGCTAACCGCTTGCATGCGGAATCTCCAAAGGGGAGTGACCAGCAGCAGCTCCAAAGGGGCGTGGCCACCTGCAGCTCGGTTACATTTAAAGGGCCAGACCCAGAATAAGGACTTTAGTAACAGGGCTGAAATAGAGGGGTATGACCAGCGCCATATAGATAGAAGAGTTGCGACAGCGGCAGTCCAAAATGCTTGATTGTCACGTGGTTCAGGGAGACTCAATAGTTCCCCGGAAGTTCGTGGCGGGCCATTTGAATCACGATTTGAATGCATAAATAACAGGATAGAAATGCAATTTTTGGTAATTAGTGGTCAATAAAGGTTTTGATTTGCAATATTTATATAATATATCGATATGTGTATGTAGTTACATCAATGTTTCGTTTTTTTTAAGTAAAATTTGCTAATATTTGAGGATTAAGATAAAAAAAGAAGTACTTTATTGATACCAATTGGGGAAATGTTTACGCTGCAGCAGCAAAAGACAAGGCATTGTACATTAGACAGTTAAAAGACTAGAATCAAACAATCAAAAATGTAAACATCTTAAATAGAAATAAAATAGCATTACAAAAAGTAGAAAATAGACAGTGTGGACAGCTATCTTACCTGTTAACATACTGTATACATTGTTGCCTTGGTTAAAGAGCCTGTTGTTTATTGCTTTGAATTCTTTAAAACAAATATTATCTTCTTAAACCTGTATGGTAGTCAGGAGCATCACATCCTAATGTTTATTGATATATTTAGAGAGATGGGAAGGAAGGTTTGAAAATTCTGAT